CTGTTATTCTATTGTTTTAACTTATTTTCTGTACAGCACTTTGTTCCTGTGCTGGGTATTTTAAAGTGCTTTATAAATAAAATTGGATTGGAAATAAAGGCTTCCAGATTATTTACATTTACATGCTTTTTCTGACTAAAGTTTTAATTTAATGGTGGCTGAATATTTACATACAAACCATTTTAATGTTATTAGTCAAATCTTTTATAACTGTGACAACTGAAAGTGAAGCACGTCTACTTATATCAGTGCCAACCTGGGATCTGGGCAGAAGTTAAAGTGTGATCTAAGTGTCAGCGTTCCTACTCTTATCATGGTTTTTGTCCTGTCAGGTGAATGAGGCGGAGGAGGAGCGCCTTCGCAGTGAGCGAGAGCACCAGCGAGTCACCCAACTGTGCCAGGATGCTGAAGCTCGAGTCCAGACTCTGCAGAAAGCCCTGAAGAAAGTCATTCTCAAGTCCAAGCCTTACTTTGAACTCAAGGCTCAGTTCAATCACATTTTGGAGGTATGTACCATCTTTAATTTAAAAATATCTTTTGAGTTATTCTTTAGTCATGAATTTTCCTGTCAGCTGTAAAACACTTTATCAAGGCAGACAAGAAATGTTATTGCAGTTACTCCAAAAAGCTCTGTGTCAGTCACTGAGAATGCATTGCATGATTTTGCATTGCAAATTTCCCTTTTCAGTTAAACACAAACAGATAATACTCGCTGTTGTAGAAGCAGCAAATCCTTTATCTGAACGTGGTTGCCGTACACATTTCATTAGAAGAGCTAGCGGTTCCTCACCCCGAGTCCTTGCAGTTAAAAATCAGAACTGTTTAAAATCAAGTGCCCACGACAGTATCAGAATGCAGTTTGCAGTTATTTATGTATTGTCTGTAAAAGTTGTCTGTGTGAGGCATACTAACCCCATGCTGCTCTCTGACGCCATCGGAGTATGAATGTGTGTGAACATTAGATAGGAAGCACTTAGAAACAGCGTGGGAAAAAGTGCTTGTGCAAGTGGGTGAATATACAAGTTGTGTAAAGCATTTGAGTGCTCAAAGTAGAAAAGAGCTACATAAGAACCACTTGATTTACCATGTGTGCTATACTTTTCACATCTTAAGCCAGTTCTACTTCAAATACAAAAGATCAAACATTGTGTAGCTGTTTGTCTACGTGTAAAACCCTCAAAGTAGTAAATTCGTATAATGACGTCCTTTCTGTTTGGTCCACTGCACCCAGGCGGTCACAAAATTAATTACAGTGTAAAATAGAGGTGGGAATCACCATACATCCCACGATACGATATTATCACAATACTTAACGCACGATATGATATTATTGCAATTTTTAAAATATTTTGCGATATTCAGATTCTGTACATAAAGGTAAACTTTATCAATCATCATTTTCTCTAATATCAAAGTCTCACACTCAGTC